AAAATGTTTGAAAAATGGAACATGGCCAAGTAATTGTTTTTTATGTGATTCTAATGAGCCAATCTACTAATAAAAACAAAGTGCAGAAAGATGACAGAATCACAGAATGAGTGAGGCAGGAAGGGACCTCTGGAGATCATCTAGTCAAGCCACCCTGCTCAAGCAGGTCAGCTACAGCATGTTCCCTAGGGCTGTGTCCACACAGCTTGTGAATATCTTCAAGGAAGGAGACTCCACAATGCCCCTGGACAGGCTATTGCAGTACTCAGTCACTTTCACAGTAAATAAGTTTTTCCTCAAATTCAGGTGGAACTTCCTGAGCAATAACATCTGCCTGCTCCCTCAGCACTCATGGGTGCATCCCATCAGGATCCATGGGCTTAGGGATGTGAAGTTTGTTTAAATGATCTATAACCCAATCTTCCTTCACCTCCTTCAGTCTTTCTTTGACCAGATTTTCTCCCTGAGCCTGGGACTTCTGAAGGCCAGTCTCGGCAGTAAATACAAACACAAAGAAGGCGTTCGATATCTCAGCCTTCTGTCTATCTTTTGTCATCAGGGCCCCTGAATATGCCTCCCTGGTATGCGACCAGTAAAAAGGCAAGTAAGGAGAGTCAAAATTGTCTTTGCTGAAATCAACGCCATTTTAATTAACTTCAAACTTCATTTTAAAAGTCTATGTTCATTTTAAGTTCAATTCTTACAACTCTGTTAGTTAAATGAACCCCCCCACCCCACTTTTTACTCATCTTACTTCTCCACTCCCTTCCGCTCACTCCAAAATAGCGTAATAAAGCACCGCTTTGTAAAGTCAGGTAGAAGGGCTTATGCACCAAGGGCTATCGTCACAACTTCACCGTCTCTGCCAGAGTCTTCCTTAATGATGTAGCTTTCCTTTGTTGTAACGTCAATACAAAATATATGCTGGACTTCTCAGGGAAAATTTAAAAAAAGGTATTTCCATAATCTAATGCAAGCTTGCATGCTAGGAGATCCTAAGCAAGTATCAATGCAATTCAGTAGGATCCTGCCTATCTTTTTTCTTTTTTAATTTTCTTGACAATTACTTTCCCCGTGGTTGTCTTCAGAAATTATGATTTCCTGAAGTCAGGAAAACTTGTAAAGCATTTTAGAAACTATTCACTGCTCTTCCCACAAAATGTAGTGCCTTTAAAAATATTTCTCCTAACTTTATTTCTTGCCTTATAGAGTATTGACAGTACACAGTTTAATGTCACTGTGAAATTGGATTTTTGAGCACATTACATTTAGATGTAAAGTGTATAAAAGTGGAATTGAGCAACATAAGTTTGCCATGAGCAGAACTTCACTATCACTGCTATCATATTATTCCAGTTTTGCTTCTTCACTTGATTTCAATTGCTTCATATTTCTGTCTCCATCCATTCAGGGCAGATGGAAAGGGCTGTCTCCTAAGCAATGTAAAGCAGAATAAAAATATTTATTACTTGAATTAAAGTTATTGAATAATGCCTAAAAATCTTTAGCATTTTGCTTGAATTGGATTCGACAGTCAGGTTTCTATCACTTCCCCCCCGCTACCCCCAAGAGGACTGTCTAACAATTAAAGGTAGTATATAAAAAATACAGATGAGGAGTATTACAGCATTCAGGGTGTGTTCGGGGTTCAGGAGAATAACCTGGATGATTATTCTCAAGTAGAATTTTGAGTTTCTTAATGCAGGGTAGAATTGTGCCCAAAGTTACCAATGTGCATTCAAAAACAGAGGTGGCTCCAGCATACAGATGTAATTCTCATAATTTTTAAAGTGCATTTTTATCTCTTACGGGAACCGTTATTGAAGATAGGAGAACAGTCAGAGTTATTAACAAGAATCGTTTTGCCTTTAAAGCAAAAATAATTACAACATAACAAATAAAATGTAAAAATACAATAAACAGCAACATTAGCAGTCTTTCTGGTATGCTTCTTGTGGAGAGCTTTTATTAAATGACATCTTCAGACTGAGTGTCCCTGAGTCCTGGTATTCTTTAGGCAATTTGAGATATTTGAGATTAGAGTATTTTCCCCAAAGTAATTATGAGGTGTGTTTTTTCAGCATATCATAGACAGCCAAAGTAGATCAGTGAAGTAATTAATTTCCGGGTTAATTAATCTTGCTCGGAGTACCATAAGTAGACAGTGGATAAACATTGCAAAAAAAAGGTGGCTAATTCTAGAGTCTTAGAAAAGCAAATAAAGTATTTACAGTCTGTTAAAAAAATAAGCAAGATTAATTAAACGAATAAATATAAACTTCACTTGTTATCATCTTAGGCTGATTTTAGTACTACCAGTAACCGAACGGAGTAAAGAATACTCTAAATCCCACGCAGAGTTTGGGGGGGAGTCTTTATGGTCCTCTGCTCTGCATTTTACTGTGTTGTTACCGCTGTATCTGATCATGTTTCACAATTTCTTGTGCCTTAAAATAGCAACAAAACAATCAGATAATTCTGATTATAAGGTCTTTTTTGAGACTTGTGTAGTATTTTCTCTTTCCTCATGGTACCACTGTTTGTGTAGCTAGTTTGTCATTTTGCTTTCCTTACATAAAGAATTGCATCCTAGAGTGAAATCTTTTTTTCCACAATTACTTCAAATGATGGTGATGGTGGTGTGAAGCACCACGGGTTTCTGTGTTCCTTAAAACATTAATAGCTTAGAGAGTTGAGACATCCAATGAATGGAAGAGTTGCAAAGACTCTAGCACTAGGCAGTATCTGAAAACTAGGGATGTGAAAAATGTTATATTCTTCTAAAGTTTACTTGGCTGGGTCCAGTGGGTGTTTTTGTTCACAGTACAGAAGTCTGGCTGGTATCTTTCTCTTCCTGTAACAGTTGTTTCAGATTTGAAGTTTTCCCACAAGACCTATTTCCAGAATTAGATTCAGATTGAGAAGTACTGTACAGTTGTTACTGTCATAAAAAACAATCTGCTGTAGCTCGATTATGGGATAAAAACCAAAAATGAAGGAAATCAGAAAATGTTGGTGCAACTTCTTTAAGAAAATTACCTGGCCTGTTATGAAATCTGTGCTTCATGGTGTTGGCTTTCCTGAGGAAGGGTGCTCGTAGCACTGCAAAATAAAGATAATTCCCTGTAACAACAGGTGCCTGAGATACTCCTACAGAACATGTCCTGTTTCGTAATCCCACTGGAAGGCTGGAATCGTATGTTTCACCATATTATGGATTTTCAGATACGGATCAGTATCACTATAATGATACTCAGAGTAATTCTCCTAGTAACTTTTCTTGAAAGTTGTTTTGAGGAAGAGTTGTTACCTGTTTGTCAGCACACTGTTCGAACATAAGATCTTGGAGAAAGTGCTGAGCCTGTGAACTGCACAGCAGCTGGGGCTAGAGACAGTGTCCGCAGGCCCGCAGGTGGGGAAGGAAAGGGAGGTCACTGTGCTCTCAAAGTAGGGTGCTGCAGTACAGTGAGGAGCATAAAATATTCAAAGGGATTGATTATTGGTGACTTTGCAGCTGACTCTGGCCTAAAACAACACAGATGTTTTGTTTTACTTACTTATGTTACCTGGTGAATTTTATTGTCAGCCCAGAGCTCAGAGTAGATTATCTAATGGTCCCTTCTGGTTTTATACACTAGGAAGTAGTGAAGCATCAGTTTTGTTATCAAGTCTAGAAATTGAACCAGCTCTTTCACATGATGTCTTTACATTAAATTAAAACTCAGAAACCAAACCTTTGTTTAGTGTAGGTTATTTTTGCTGTCCACCAAAGATAAAAAGAGGAAAAAATCATTGGCTAAACTTAATCTATAGGAAGGATGTGTCATGTTATTGGTTATTATCTTAACAAAAATTTAGATTCTTTCTTAGCTGTACTGTAATATTATCAATAGTAAGGTTGCAAGTCCCTAATAATGAGCATTTATGGATGAGTCTTTTTAAAAAATACCTAAAATGCCCAAATGTTTAGTGTAGGACAGAGGCCCACAGTTAGAAGTGACTGCCGTCCACTAAGTGGTTTTAACTGGCCACAAAGTCTCTTCTTCACTGAATCAGTCGCAATATACGGTGCATTCATGGTGGCTCAAGCTAACACAGGTAACTGCAGAGCTGGGAGCAGTTACTGTGTCACGTTGTTAAGGCAGAGTAATTCAAATATTTAAGAACATGAGGACATGGCCCATAGGCAGAATTGCAATCCAACAGTTTACTGAGACGCAGATGTGACCCTTAATACCTATGTGTGCACTGACCTAATACAGTGCCCCACACTTACTACTACTATATGTAAGGAGAGTTTAGTATCAAAGGCTTTAGACCTTCAGTCATGGACTAAGATGCAGCTGAGCTCACTATTATGCAGACAGAGAACAAACCATAACTCCTTCACAAATAGCTTATTATTTAAATGTAAGATAAGAGGTGACTGGTAGATAGGTGGGGAGTGCAAGGAGACTTTTAACCAATATTGCTCAGCATAATAGGCAGCAGCATCAGTCCTTTGGAAAAGGTGCCTGTAGGCAGTGGTTCCAGGGAATATCGTGAGCTATCCGCAGGGATTTGTAGAAAGCTCTTCCCATGCACTGCTGGCAGCCCGAAGGGAGGCACACATGTGCTTGTTTGAAAAGCTAAGCACACGTGCCAATTTGAAAATCTAATGGTGGCTGTATCAAATTGTTTGATCAGTGGTGGAAATCAGGGGTGGAAATCATTTTTTTTTTACCAAGTGAAAGTTAACAAGGAGAAAGGTTTTGAGAGTTAGCACAAGTTGGTTATGCTTGATGCAGTAGGAAAAGAGCAAATGGAAGGAAGCATAGATGAGATAATAAGCCCCTCTAAATTTTTTTTTTTTTTTGGAAGATATGTGAAAGACCTTTCTGGATGAATATGAGCTGGTACATTACATTTTTCACAGAGAAAAGAGTATTGAACTAACCGAGATATGAGATAATGAAAGTCTGTGGCACACTTATTTCTGTGTAAAAGCCATACATTTAAAGATGTTATGCAGAGGGAATCTGGAAAACTTAGATGAAAACTGTAGGTAAGACCTTAGAGAAAGGTTTGGTCTAAGACAGAGTTGCAGGCCGGGGAAAGAAGTAAAATGGTTGGGGAACCCAGTACCTGTCAAGAATCATGGATGCCCCACAGGGCTTGAAGGAAGAATCAAGAGCTCTCCCTTGGCCATGTTATTTTGAGATGGCAGCTAAACACGCTTAGGTGTGGGGGGCACTGAGTGAGATTTTAGTTTAGGCAGAGAGGTGTATGTGTCCACAGCAGTACTGCAGCTTTGTAAATCCCCATTACAGTAAAAGCCTCAGAATCAAGATCTTGACGCCAGCATTTAGACCACTCGAGCTGAGTAGCAAGTAAACTCTTAAACCCTCTGAAGTCAAGACAAAGGTGATGGAAAATTGTCTTTATAAATGCACATGATTGCACAACGTGGCCAGGGTTCAAACATGTAGTGTATAGGATGATGCAAACCAATTAACTGTATTTGCTGTCTAAATGAAACAACTCAAACAGATTTGGCAATGGAAAGTGAAAATTGTTACTGGTTTGTCAGCTGCAGTGAAATCTTGTCTCCTGTCATTTTATTAAAATATTTCATCAAGTTTAGTCTCTGCTACACTTGTTTATAGCACCTTAGCATACAAGTATTCTCACTTAATTCAGGGGTGTTCCCCAAACAAGGATTAAGGTGCTCTTCAGCATAAGTCAGGGCACTGTCAACTGCCCTTGATTACCAACTGTTAATTAATGACATGAGTGAGATAACAAGGGAGGTTTCTGGAAAACAGGAATAACTGTAAATATGTTAATTAATAATATAGCTACAAGCTATAATGCTTCTCTAAGCAACGTGAAGACTATGTCTGCTCACTGATTTCTGTGTTTTTTTGTGTGTTGTTGTTGTTTTGTGCTTATCTCAACATTCATTTCTTAAGAAAATTGGCTAAAAAGCGGAAGGAGACATTGAGCAGCACACGGCAGGAAATGACAGTGATGGTGAATTCAATGGATAAAAGCTACACTGAGCAAGGCACCAACTGTGACGAAGCTTTCTCTTTCATGGACACGCACAATCTAAATGGGAGATGTAAGTTTTCATTCTTTTCTTTTCTTTTGTAAGGTGGAAGGAGGGTGTAAATGGTTTTTAAAATATTCTTCATTACTCAGTCATGGAAAATCCATGGGACCCAAAGTCTCCCACTGTGCAGTACATTACAGTGTATATTCTAATGAGCAGGACAGTCAGACATCAAGAATAGACTTCTTTAAAAATAATAAGGATAATTGAGCTTTTTTCTGTCTGTCTTTTTTTTCTGTAGAAGAGCAAAGACATTACCAGAACAGATGTAGTTTTACCTTTCCCCAATCTCTATTATGTTAAAAATTTTACATCTCCCACGCTGTCCCAAGTCCTTCACCTTCTTCCCCTAGTCCCTTTTTTTTTATTTTTTGGTAGGCACAATTTATTTTGGAATGTCATAACTTAATAATGGTGATCTGATTGTCTTATTATTTCCACTTCTAGATGGTGATCTTTCTCTTGCTTGTGCAAAGCAAGAATCGGTGGAATTATGCAGTCTGCAATTTTCATGAGAGATTCTGTAATATTCCACATCTTTCAGGGTCTATCCTGAAAATAAGTAAAATTTGTGATATACAATTTCTGGATTAGAGTGACTCAAGAACTCGCTCCCTTTAGAGGGTTAGTATGTAAAATTTGTGATATACAATTTCTGGTATTAGAGTGACTCAAGAACTCGCTCCTTTAGAGGGTTGAGCTAGGACCACAGTATGTTTTTTGTAATTGCTAAAAACAAACAAAATCAATATGTTCACACAATATTTTTTTTTGTAATTCTGAACGAAGCACAGTTTTTCTTGGATACTGGTGTTTTTGAAGAGCTTCAGAATTCATGAAAGATTGAAATTTGTTTCAAGTGCTAACAGAATGCAAGGCCCAGTTCCCACTCTTTAATAATATGCTTAAGAACTTATCTTTAAAGAGCTCTATTGTACAAACACTCTCTGTGAGGTTTATACAATAAAGGTTTCCCTCGCCAGCGTTAGGCTGAGAATTTGCAAATGTTAATTTGCATTTGACTCACTTTTGAACTTGCTTTGAAACGGATCTTTCAAAATCTGACTTGCCTTTCTGCTGAGAGTGTCCCATTGCAGTAAATGAGGTGGCTTGCTTTGTGAGGGGATCAGGAGGTCTGGCTTCATCTTCAGTCACCGTGATGTAGTTTTCCCACGGTGCTACCGAATGGTCATGGCAGCCAAAGGGGCTGCAGTGAGTTCCTGGGGCCACATTCTCTTTTCCTGTTACCATTTAAAAACAACTCGAAATTAATAGACATGGCAAACATTTTATACTGATGGAGGACTAGAACCATTAATTCAGATTTTCCACAATAAATGTAGTCATCAGAAGAATCAGGTTGACGGTCTTTAGGAATAATCTTTGTATAAGGCCTTATTGTCAAGAGATTCCTGCCTCTTACTGAAGTTGATTGTCACATGGTGCATCTAAAATGCAGCTTTAGAAGCTGCAGCAGCCCTTACCACAGCCAGTCTCTGCACTGGCATCCAAAAGAAATGCCACTCTGCCCTTTCCATCTAGCGATTCAGCAGACATAATCAAAGGAAAGATAGATTTATGTGTAGGATAAATAACTCCCAGCATCATTTAAAACTGTTTTGACATATTTCCATCTTACAAGGGGCTGCCAACTGAATCCCCTAGAAGATTAATGAAAACAAGAGAGATTAAAGGTAGCAGGACTAATCTTAGATCTACTCATCCAGCAAATCCAGCAGATCCTGTCATCTATTTTTTTTCTTTTTTTATTTTTTCCTGTTAATCTGTTTATTGATATGCAGAATATCCTTACATTCACTGATTTGAGTGTATAAATAATCAAACCTACAGCAACTAAGGTTGAATTAGCAGTAAGCTTTGCTTAAAAACCTTTAATGACTGTTTGGCTGAGCATCCTCTAATAACTTTGTGATTAGCTTTCTCTTACCTGCTGAATGTATCTGTGCTTACAGTGGTAATCCATGTGATCTTTGCATACCAAGGAACTGATTGAGCTGAATTTGTTTCATTGTGCTTTCCCATAGCTTTTACAAATGGTTAAAACATTAAATACCAAAGCCGACATTAGTCTATGTTTTACTGCCTGAAAACTGCTGTTAAACAAAGAACAATATACAGGGCATAATAGCAACTGTCTGAACAAATCAAAAAACAGTAGAAGAAAAATGAACTATCGTCGAATATTTGCATATGGGATTTGCAGTATTATTAGGTAAATTTACTAATGATCAAAGCTTCTGCCAAAAGCACCTGTTGTCATCATGATGTCTTTATTTAGGGATCAGTATTCAGTCTAATCTTGTGGTTTAAGAAATGTTTGTCATCGTTGATCAAAATATTTTATCAGATGACATTTCTTTTTAGGGAGCTGATCCAATTCACTGAGCTGTTTTCCTCACTAGAGGCTCTTGGTTTCCCCTAGGTCTTGACAGTGCAGCAAACACAGCCGAAGAGGCTGGAGACCAAGCCAGTCACCCTGCCTGTGTGACCCAGCTTAGGTAGCCACCTACCACTGCGCTGCCTCTAACCAGCTTTGTTTCTCTTTGCAGCTGTATCCTCACCGTCTTCCTTTACAATGAAAACTAACACACTGAGCACAACAGTGCCTAATTCTTATTACCCAGGTAATCATTTTTTTTGTCTCGGTTTCATCCCTGTATAGACCTTTTTTATATAATAAAAGCATCTAAATTTATGTTTCAGTGCACCTTGTCATAGATAATTAATACATGTAACCAGTTGCTTACAGTAGCATTCTTCGAGAAAACTGGGGAACATTTATCAATCATTTACTGTTCTCTCTCTTTTTACCTTTCCTGCATTGACCTGCTTATGATGTATGACAGATCCATTTGTGCCAACTGCAATTTTAGGTGAGAACATTTCCCTTTATCAAAGTTTATTGCTGAAGTAATGTAGAAAGTCACAGTTCTTGGGGTACAGATGATGATAGTACGCAGGAAGCTTGAGGGAGGGTAGACTTGGCTACATTGAGAATGCTAAGGACGGTTGTCAAACCTGATTTATCCTGTCAGAGTGCAAGTCAGGGGAGAAAAAAGAGAAATAATTTCAACAAGTGGTTTTATGGGGAAATAATTATTCAGGTATTTGGAGTGACACAAAAGAATTCTAGCAAATGAAAGTTTTCCTCATTTTTTTTCCATTTTATCTCAGAATGGAAGATGTCCCTTCTTAATAATAAGATTTCCTAATTAGACTATTCATGATACAAAAAAAGGGTCAAAGTTTTGGCCATCTACCAGCTATCATTCCTTCTCACACTACCACACAGTTCCTGACATGCTTGTCAAAGTGAAGTTTTAGGGGAGAAATGGTGTTTTAAACAGTGAAATGACAACATGACTTTTAAGAGTCATATGCTTTAATGGTTTGTTGTGCATCAAGTGTCATAGGCATGTAATACAATGGTAGAGCTATAGGCTAAAAACATACACAGTTAAAATATAAAGCATCCCCACAAGTGTGGCTTGTGTTTATTTACACCTTCTTCTCATCCTAACTTTAAACTAAACGGGAAGACTTTTAGAAGACAAACAATAAAATAATAAAAAAGTAAGATAAAACACTGCACTGTAGCAAGAATTCAGGCTCCAATGTTTAGCCTGTCTACTCTTTTTACAGTGATTGATGCATTTACAACATGCGTTTTTCATTCTTCTCCTTTTCCTTCAAATAACTGTGCCAATATGAGAAGTTAAAGGGACTTAAGAGCAAAGTGAAGCATACAAGCAGTAAAAATTTAGGAAGGTGATTTTTTTTGCAAACTTGTTCTTGTGAAAGAATAATTAGCAAAGCGTATTTCAGAATGGTAACTTTAAGAAGGGACCTGTTCATTTTTCTACGTTATGTAAATCTGAGGGAAGGTAATGGTAGTGACTGTAACAATGTAATAATCTGCATGCAAATGGAGTTTTCAGCGCCTTTTAACTGCCTGAGATGTTAGATTTTTTTTTGTGTGCTTTAGCATTCATTCAACACTTCATCCAGTAGATGTTCTTCCCGACCTTGTGGGTGGGCAAGGAGAAAAGTACTATTATCAGGAGAAAAACTTTGAGATTTCACATTTTGATTATTAATTTTAGATAATGATTTCTCAGATTTTTTTTGATCCTTTGTTATACAGTAATGATGCTAAAACTATTGGTTCATTTTTATTTCTCAAAAAATAATCTACACGCACACAGTTCGTATATCAGGCCAAAATACACACTGAAAATCTTTAAGCTCTGTAAGACCTTGAATTAACTAGACGTGTACTTGACCATCTAATACAGTAACATGTGCTTATATATCTCAGATTTTTCAGGTACTTCGTGGTAGAAAAGAAATATTTTTGTTAGCTTAGTTAAATGTTTAGTATCTTTATGTGAGTACTGTTCTGCTGAGACAGAATTTATCTATCATAAGATGTTAATAGTTATTTGTATAGGGCTAGTGCTCCATCTGAGGTGAATCAAAGCAGCTCTGTTTGAGTCAGTACAGGAATATAGGTTGTAACAAAAATCCATTATTTACATGATGGATTTTTATTGCAATTAGTTCTGCTTTTGATGTGTTTGAATGCGCGGCGAAGTTTCTTTTTAGGCTGCAGGATCAAACCTGTGGTCAGAACCAAATAAACCCTTCATTGTGACCCCCTGGGAAAGGAACAGGTCTGGTGAATGGGTGAGTTTAGTTTTTGAGATCAGAATATACCACAATATACTTGCCCTTTCCAAAATGTGATGCAGCAAGATCTCTGGAATATTAATGCAAATTAGGAAATTCTTAGGCAATTGAAACAAATAAATCAAAAAAGACTGATCAATAATAGCAAACTCTTTTAACGATGCAAGGGGCAACAACCTGACTCCTCAATTTCAGGTATGTGGAGTTGTTCATGCAGTTGATACTTAGTTCATACTAAGCTTGATAACCTAAGTGAAAACTGGCAGCTAAACAAGTGTTCTACATAATAGTGGATAAATTGATAGTTGCTGAGCATCAGTGTAGGTCATTTTTGTCAAGTATCAGTGATTTGCACATTTCTGAGACTGGAGAAACAAAAAATTCTTAGCCCAGATAAAATATTGAGCTGGATTTACAGATATCTCCCATGCCATAAGGTCATATAACTGGTAAACAAATGTGCTATTTAACAAACTTACAGAACTTTATAGGAATCAATAGGTGGACAGTAGAATAACTCCAGGATTTAAATACCAAATTCATAACACAGGAGCCCAGCTATCTCATAACCTTGCATCCAATATAGTTACCAACAATTTGTGGAAAAACAAAACAAAACAAAAATCTTCTTCTAAACTGTTTCTAAAATTAAAGTAAGCCACACCAAAATCATGATCAACTTCCTACAATTTTTTTTTGTCTTTTGTGTCTTAGCCACCTTGTAGTTTCCAGGTGCCATTTCAGCAGCTACATACTGCACCTACACTTGTATACCACGTTTCATACCATGCATCACAAGGTGCTTCACAGTACAATTTTATCACACGTTAGACAAAAAATGTCGAATTTAATGACTAAATGAGGAAGTCAGTTTCTTTGTGGATTGGATCAGCCAGCAGGAAGAGGAGTGAAGTGCCCATACCCATAAATACCCATAAATTGCTGTCTCGTGTTTTTACTTGAGACCTAAATGCACAGTTCATATCAGCCGTATGCCCCTGAGAACCAGATCTGAGACATTTCTGTATCGCTGTGAACTGAAAGAACATGGTTTTCTTCTTGAAATATCCCACATTGAGCTTTGTGGCCTAAACAATTTCCAGTGAGATAACTGAGATCAGAATTTCACCTTTAATGAGGTGTGATAGTAGTTTTAGTGTGTGTATGAGAATCTTTGACTTTTTAATACAGCGAATTTGGGGAACTTTCTGCTGTAATATATTAAATTTATCAAAGTAGAACTATATTTTTCAACATATTTTATATTATAATCATTTTGCATAAAGATATTACTTTGGTGAACCACTTGCGTGGTTAGTGTGCAGTCAGTGAAGAGCAGTTTGACCAAGTCAGAGCACTACATTTGCAATGAAAAATCAAAAAAAAACCTTTTGAAATATCTAAAAATATTATTTGGTTAAAAACAAAAATATCTCTGATGATATCTGAACCTCAGAATTGGGTTGTTTTTCTCTTAGCAAGTTTGAACAAATAAAAATTTCCATCTAAACAGCTTCACAAGAAACTGATACTGCTTCCTGAGGTAGCATGCTTTTTCACATCTATCTATTGCTGAGAATGAGTTTTGATCTCAATTAAATCTATGTGAATTAGCTCACAATAAGATAACTTGGATTCAGTAGATTTAATTTAATTTATACTGTGAAACTGAGATCAGGATCCAACTAATTTAGGAAATCACACTGTAGAAACTAAATTGCAAACATAAAACTACCTGTAATTATTAATGTAGTACTGTTGCTTATGCCCTGTTTCCTTTTTCTCCTCCTCTTTTTTTCTCCTGATATGTATCTTCTTAAAAGTGCCAATCAATGGTAAGTTGCCCATTTGCCCCACGGAAGAGATGTGGAGGGTTGGGAGAGTATGTGTCTCGTACAAATCTGAACCAACCCACTGGGTTCTCTTGTTTGTTGGCTTGCATGTTAGTTCACATTAAACATTCCATGCCTACAGTGGTGGCTCATCCTAGACCCTGGTCCTAACGCATGTTCAGCAGCCAGTCAGCACATCCTTCCTGAGCAGATGACCGTTTGCATTTGTCCTCCTGTAGTTTGTTTTCAGATGTTGTATCAGATCTCCATTTCCATTGCAGTCCTAGCTTGATGAAACCATAAGCCATTTTGTGTGTCTTTTTATTTTGCTCACTACAAACATTTGCTCTAAATTTGCAGCATAAAATATAGCAGTTCACTAATCTAAGAAGAATACAAGTCCCCTTTCATCCCATGGGACTTGATGAAGTTTCAGAATGAAACTTCTATGTAGTTTAGAAGCACATGCCTGATTTAGAGCTTGTTTATAATCAGCTAGTGTTATTTAAAGCAATGTTATAGTTTGGACTGCTCTGCAATGCTTCCATTGTAGAACCATGGACTTTGCCTCATTCCAATCAGTCTTGCAATTTCCCTGTGTAAACTGTTCCATGGATTTACCTTTATCTGACATAGTCTTCACAGACCGAAGCAATACTGAAGATGTCAGATTTCTGTCATTCCTCTAGAAATCTGTGTATTGTATATTTACATTAATAAATAAGTGCAGATGAGCTAGTACATTATGAGATGTTCTTTTCCTAGATGAAACCCACACGATGGTCAGTGACACAAGCAGCCTGGTCCAGTCCCATACTTACAAAAAACGGGATCCAGTGGATGTACCCTACCAGACTGGACAGCTTCATCCAGCCATCCGGGTAGCTGACTTACTGCAGCACATCACCCAGATGAAGTGTGCAGAAGGCTACGGATTCAAAGAGGAATATGAAGTGAGTGTCCAGTCTAATGATCTCATTATTATGTTTCCTGTGCTCCTGGCTTTATCTATCTATCTGCTACCTGTACCACAGAGCAGGAAAAATAATGACTTGATCCAGTAAACTAGTAGCCCTGTGAAGGATGACACCAAATGGAAAGGATCATCTCTAGAGTGAGCAAAGGCTCTAATATTAACAAGCCAGGATGGGGAGCTGGAAGTAAAAACGTTTCTGGGAAATCTCTGCCTAATTCTAATTGCATAATGCCATATATTAAAAAAGCAGCTCCTTGAAAAACCTTTCTCCTTGATCTTGCTATACTACTGAAATATCCAGCCTTTTTTCCCCAGTGTTTCATCACAGATTGTCTAATCACAGTTGCCTGGTTACATGATACAGATTAGTTTGAAAAACAAAGTTTTGCAAGCAGAGTTACTTGGAATAACAGCATTCACCATGCAGAAGAATTATGCAACTCTTCAGAGAGCCCCATAGGGCTACAAACCTATCCTGTGGTGCCTCAACATTTTCACATTAGCTGGAGGCTATTCCTAATCATTATTTTTCATATATACTTACAGCTTTTCACTTTTTTTCTTTGCTTGCTCCAACTTCTGTTTCTTCATTTCATGCTACCGTGACCTGTTCCTTCCTGTTATCATCTTCTTGTTTTAAATGCCATGTCCATTACACCCTCGTAAAGACTATAGATATGCAGTACATGGGGCTAAAGTTCCTGTCTTCCTTGGAAATAAATGTCCTTTTCTCTCTCTCTTTTAGCTCTGAGTTTAAAGGGTTTATTCATGTAGGTAGTTCTCACATACAAGGATATGGGTAGGATATCTGTAGTGAGTAGTTTCCTGCAAGATTATAGCTCAATATGTTTGAAACTAAAACCCAAGTAGCATAAAAATACAAAAATACATAGGGTTAGTGCACAGGATTGGACTATTAATTTTCTGGAATTTCTTAGGAGCATGTGAGAACTCATGGGATGATTTTTGGTTGCTTAGGTAGGAAGATGCACTGCATAAGAACTTGTAGGGTTTGATGCGTATGATTGGAAGCTCAAAAATACCCTGTTAACTTTTAATACATAATATGGATTGTGATCCCAGATAATGTGACCAGACAAAAAGAAAAAAAAAATTGTATCATACCATGTGGCCCAGGAGGCAGATAAAGATCACCAGCAGCCCATCTCTCCAGTTCCAGAAGAAGGCTACATCTGACAGAAGCTAAATTTGCATCCATATGCTCTAGCATCTATTTATCCAGTTGAGGGACCTGTCCGAATTATACTGCATCTCCCACCCAGACCACAGTCCTGAGTAACCTTTCTGTGAAAAACAGGATGTGAGAAATGAGAGAAACCAGGATAACTGGGTCTTGTTCTGGTGACTCTTAACACAGCCAGTGAAAAGAAAATACAGATGCAATTTTAATTCTGTCTTCTTGAAGCAGAAGTCAACAAGAAAGATCACTGCTCATTCTTTCATCTGATTGAAGGGGGAACGAAGAGGGACAGCCTACAAAAGTCCTTAAATGGCTTCCAACCTGTAGGGCAAGCAACAATTTCTGTTCTGGGCATGCACAAGTCTGCACTGCCCTAGAGGCTCAATGTATCAAGGTTGAGTTTTAAAGATCTGGACTAATGTATTCACCATTGGAGGCCCTTTAGCTGGTGAAGTCGTTATTAGGACAGTGTACAAGTGTTCAGGGCGCTTGCGTTTGAGAAGAGACAGTGGCTTTTGGGAGTTTACACTGCTTCGTCATGCCAGCTCCATGTTAAAAGAATCTCCTAAATATGTCATTGTTTAAACTGGTATTTGTTGTATTAGACTTTCAAAGCCCATGCTTCAGGCCTCTTCCTAAGTTACTGCTGGCAATTTCTTCCCCAAAATGTGGAAAACAATTAATTCCCAGAAGGAACTAATCACTTGTCAGCTTTCATTTGTGCAGCTGACTTAAACAAGTTTGTTCCTGTGATTTTTTTATGACAGTTATTTAAAAATGATAGAATTGAAAATTCTTGTCTTTGGAAAAGATTTGTTCATCAGCCAAAACCCTTTATTCCAGCATTAAGCCTAGAGGAAAGCTACAATTAACAATTAACTTACAAGAAAAAAGACGACGATGACGACGACAACTGTAAAAAGGAATTTATAATGGAACCACCGACATGGCTTTTTAACTGCAGCGGATCAAATGATGCTGCTGAGAAACAATTTCCAGGAAAATCACTTAATTTGAAGCTTACCAAGCTGATGAATGGCAGCCCATTAGAGACAGTAGGTGTAGTCATGACTAATGCCAGTAGTTGCAATACATCAGGGTGCAGTGTAGTAGGAATAGCAGGGAAATAGAACTGAAAATATTGCAGCTGCATCTGAGAAACTTCTCTTTATATATAGCAATTGTTTATAATCAGAGTGAGCCATAACAAACCATGTCTTGCATGTCTTGGAGTGTTTTTTTTTTTTTTTCTGTTGAACTACTTCAGTCTTGCTGTTTTTCCTCTAAATGCAAGGAAAAGCTGCCCAATATATTTTAACATTGTTAAGATTGAGGATCTCTTTGTTTACCTTGCTGTCACACTGATACTTTCCTCATTGCAAGGTTGGACTAGGCAGTGGAAGAGCTTTTTTCCTCATAAATTACCAGAAGGATAACTGTCCAAATGAAAAGGAAGAAATAGTTTGGCAGGGGATTTGTTTTGAATGAAGTTTCATAGATGATTTTTGCCGTAACAAGACAGCAGGACTACATAGTCTCACCAGGGAAACAGTTTGATTTCAAAGAAATTCACACAGGATTCACTCTGAAAATAAATCTGTTGAAGGGAACAGAAAGTGAAGTAGCGCATTACCTGGTAGCAGCACTTCGGAGGAGTGAAAGGATACAAAGCACTTGCTGCCTTGCATAGTTATAAGTGCTTTAAAATAAAACATAATAACTGGCACCACAATTCAGAATAATTAGGGCTGCAGCACACAATCTAAGCACACCTGTGTAATTTTAAGACTTACTGGCTTCATGCAGAAGTTTTTTAACAACCAAAATGAAGGGAGAATGTTGAGAAACCATCTGTAAACAAGGGCAGGCTGGTACTTAATCACTTGTTGCTCAACTCTGCAGGGTGAATACCCCTTGAGATACTGAGTATCCTCAGCTCTCAGCATAACGACGTCTGAGAGAACATCGTATTCAGGCAGGATTGTGCCCTTTTATTCTTTTTCTCTCAGGATCTGAGAGTGTTTGACACGTTATTTCAGAAAGTTTTGGCTGAGCATTAGCAGGGAAGCATCCCACAGTCTGGCACTGTTCCTACGATGCTTTGAGGGAAGATCCCTGTTTTCCAAGGCAGGATCAGGCTCTGAATCTTAAATAAAGCTGTACAGATTTTGATTTTATGTCTATCTGTGTCTGTGGAATGAGAGCAAATACTGGCAAGTCCTTAGCAGCACATCAATAACACCTTAACTGCCCATTTTCCCATGTGCTTCTCAAGTGTGGAAATAACATGGATACACTTTTGTAAGCTGTGGACTCAAATGTGAACCTCCATTTATGGTCTAGTGGAGTGTGAATGATTGTAAGGGATTGCACAGGCAGCTTTAAACTCAGGGAAATTTCCACACAGCTAGGCCACAGCAGATCTTTAAAATCCTTTTTGATCTCCCACCGCACCCTTAAGAAAAGAAAGACTTGTGGCCTGGCCCAAGCGATGTGAGACTGACAGAGTAACCTTGGCCTGATTTCACAGGCACCCAACACTAATTGTGCATCATTTCATATGCCCCCCAGTTTGAAAGGATGAGAGAGCTGGTATGGATCAAGCAGGATCACTAATACACTCATCTCCTTTCTGCATTACAAAAATAAAAAGCGAAGGAGAGTAGAAAGACTTGTGGCCTGGCCCAAGCGATGTGAGACTGACAGAGTAACCTTGGCCTGATTTCACAGGCACCCAACACTAATTGTGCATCATTTCATATGCCCCCCAGTTTGAAAGGATGAGAGAGCTGGTATGGATCAAGCAGGATCACTAATACACTCATCTCCTTTCTGCATTACAAAAATAAAAAGCGAAGGAGAGTAGAAGTGATCTATTCATCCTTTTTTTTACTTTCCTTATACCATCTTTTACTTTTAGACTTCCTAGTTTCACAGTGCTTTGCACTTAGAGGGTGTCTTTCACAAAGTTTTATGTCTGTGAAAAGGCTTGTGTGCATCGCTGTAAAAGAACAAGTTCACCTCCTTCCTTAAGAGATGGACCAGGCTCCTGGAACCCAGCAAAGCTTAGGGTAGAAACAGAGAAATTCATCAAAATCTTACTATTTTAAATAGGATTGATTTAAACTCTATTTTTGGATCTTTGAATCAACAAAAATTTGTGCCTATTTAGTGTAAATTGATTCTTTGCCAAATTAAGCTTCGTTGACATAAGACAGTCTCAAATCGATTCTGGAGTGTCCACGCAGGAGCTTGGACTGGTTTAACTGAATTGATTTAAAAACACACCTTTAATTAAACAAGGTCTATCTGGTGCAGCTAAAGCTTCAGAAAATCAATTTTGCATTACGTTCCATGCCAGGGAGTTTTGCACTTCCATTATTTCAAAACCAGAGGTTCCTTAGAAAAGCCAGGATGTGTAAATGGCATCCTCCTCAGCTCTGCCTTGCTCCCTATCACTAATGGGGCTCCATCAACAACAGAGTTTACAAAAAGGTTCTTCCATGTGGCTTAAACTTTAAGGCCTTTTCTCCCGCTCTTCTTCTTCACTCTCCTCCCTGTCCCACATTTCTCTTCCCAAAGTTTTGTGGCAGTTTAACTGCTGGTAGCATGATAGCAGTGCTGTTCCTCGTAGGGCGAAGTTATCTGCTGTCAGGATAAATTGCACTGATTATGCCCCTTTTATGCTGTATGGCATGCACTCTGAGAGGTTGCACCAATGTAATCTCTAAATCACTGCAGTTAAATAGATGGATCGCTATGTGGATACAGGCTCA